TGGTTCAACACATCAGTCCAACACGAGCCTTTTTCTTCCTCTTTACCTTTTTAAGTTTTCCCAGCAGTGACACGACGTGCTCGTGATGTTCGGCCGAAGCCAAATCCTCCGCCGTCTTCCCATCCTGCAGGAGGAAAACAAGTCAGTTCTTTAGTAAACATCACATCTCCTCAGGAGCTCGAGCACAAAAAAGACACGTCTGTAAATAACTTCCGGTTAAACCAGTTCAGCAGACGCCGCTTTTACTTTAAGTGTTTCCCCCAAAACTACCATCACGTGTTCGACCAGTTTAGATCAGAACCAGCAGATTAGATACACAAACGATTTATATTTATTTATTTGTTTACTTGTTCATCCATAACAGGAAATTCAGCAGATATTTTGTTCTGTTTTCGATCGACGCTGTTAGTGTTTTATGAGTCAGCTGTTTGCTACATTTGATCTTCTCCAAAAACATCGACGTGCCTGAAGTGACCTTTATTTGTTATGACAGTTATTCCTCATCACGCATCGTCTCTCAGCTGATGTCAGTGGATTAATTACAGCTGCAGCTTCATGTTTCTGTCACTGTCCGGCTCGGCTGACGCTCCGCTGGGAAAACCTGCACGGACGCCTGAAACGCCCACAGAGCGCCGCCTCCCAAACAGCTCGTCTGTGATGAAGAGGAAGATCGATGCAGCGTGCTCACTGTTCGGATGGAAAGCTTTAATAAAATCATTTCTCTTCCTTTCACGAGCACGACTCGTGTGGCGATCGGACTTCGCCATCATCGACCTCCTGAGCCGACTGGATCGGGTAAATGAAGTCTGAGCATTTAGACGCGCGGACGCTCTCGCGGCGCTCGGCTCACACAGATGGCCGGGTGTCGCGATTATTACTACTGATGGCAGGGACAGATGAACGGCTGGCGTTATGTGAGGAATAGTAGATCATCCACAGTATTTCCAGCCCAGACTAAATATCTGCTGAATCGGAAGCTCGGGAACGACGAGGAACGGTGAAATCGGCAGAGGCTGGAAGGATTTGGAAGAATATTTCAGCCTCCACAGAAAAACCAAGATCACAGAGGCACCGTGGAAGGTCGTCCTCCCTGACACTGAATTATACATCCCAGTGTGCGCTTAAACATGCACAGCACATCAGCCGCCATACAATATTAACATCCCGGGAACGCAGAGCGGGAAAAACCTCAGCGCGGATCATTTGCTGCTGGAACCAGATTTAATGAAATGCATGAAAAAAGAACAGAGCGCATTAATTCATAACGCATCAGGACTCGAGCAGAATTAGATCTGAGAGGAGTTTCAATGACAGATGGACAAAAACACGTTACTTCTGATATCGGAGAACGCTGGAAACATCTGGAAATCTTATCTGAACAGGCTGAAAACATCTGCACAATAACAGCTGAGGTCATGTTGGGAGCTGGCAGGAGAAGCAGGGAGGCGCCCGTGATGGAGGCGCCGACCCTGACGTGCTCTCCAGGTTTGCTGAAGGTCATCTTGAGTCCAGTTCTTGTACCGAACATTTGACACGAGTGTTTTTGTTTGTTACACTTCAAACGATCAAAATTAACATTTACAT